TTGCATAATTTGTGGGTATTCTTCAATATCAGGAAATACTTGGGTTATGCACTGAATATTTTTCATTGAATAACAAGGTATGGATTTTTAGTTTGGGCTCTCATTGTTAGAGGCATTTTTAGTGGTTTTTCTAGATCATGTCTTCTGGGGTGAAATCAGCCCTTTTCTTGTGCTCAAATAGCTCAGCAGCAGTTTCACCAGTCAATCTGGGAGTCTTGCCAGGGTCTCTCTGACTTAGCCACCACCACCACCAGGGACAGGGATGCTGCAGTCCAGGCGGTCCCACATGCCCTGGGGGAAGGAGGTAAGGTGCTGCCACCTCCGTGCCAGTCCAGCCCTGCAGCCGATGGGGACATCTGTGACAACAGTTCAAACAAGGGCAAATACAAATCTCACACTACGTAACATGTGGCACAGCCACAAAGGCTGGACAACACCAAGTGAGGACAGAGTGGCAAAAAGACACAGTGGGAAAATTGGCTTTGGAAAGATTCTTTCTCTGTTCAGTTTTCTTCATTGAAAAAGCAAGAAATTTGAAAAATGAGATGTTTTTCTATCTCATTAAGGGAAGAATAATTCAAAACACGTGGAGTTTGTCCCACTTACTTTTTTGGCCATCCTTCTTCGAAGCAAAAAAAGGAAGGAATAGGAACACAAAACTGAAGTGGGCTTCTACCCATTTTTACTGCTTTTTGCTCCTTTTTCTGAAACGTTTTCAGTAGGAAAGTGAGAACAAGGCCATCCCCCCATTATATTCTCCTTCTCTACTTCCTCCCACCTTTTCTCCTAAATAGAAAATAAGGGGAAAAAAAACCCTACAAACCCAGAAAAATTTAAAAGCTCCCACTCTTTCAAAACAAAAAAGTACAACATTTCAAAACATTAGGAAGGAACATCTTTCAGTTTCAGCGTTCAGAAATGAGACGCAGCATTGCTCCATTACTGCAGCGCGAGGGACGACTATTTCCGACAGCAAGGAAGGAGATCAGCAGCTCACCTGCTCAACAATTTCCTCCTTGCCTTACTGGCCAGGTTGACTTGGGACACAGTGTAGATTCCACGAACTCCTCGCCTGCCTCCCGGGCCAGACCAGTCTCACACCAGGAACTAGATTTCCCTCATGATGTCTCTCTCCACTCCTCACAGGCAGGCAGGCAGCGTTTTTGGGGCATAAAGCCTGGCTGGGATCGAGCCGTTAGTTACCATTCCTGTTGACAGGCAAACTAGAATAGGCTCTGGCTCACTTTCTCCGAGCTGCGGAAGGAGGAATGAGCCGGGAAAAGAGTTCATTCAATTGCTTCTGTTTGGCAGCTCTGCAGGACTCTCCGCAAAGACAGAAAGAGATGTGGCAAGTAAGGAGTTGCCATTTTTAGAATTACATAAGCCAGTTTGATTGCCATCGAGGCACTCTGTGCAGCTCCTGCCACGGTGCCCTGCCGGTTGCTCTGCAGTGGGACTAGATTTCAAGCAGCTTTAGAAGCAGGTCAGATACCAGCTCTTAAAATTGGACTCAGGTTGAAAATGTCGATGTTATTCTTGCATAACTGACAATGTTGAACAGCATAACCATGCAAGGACTCTGGGACAGTTTGCTTCCAAAATCCCACTAACCACACTTGCTCTGGGACCTGTGCAGTGCTCCAAAAACTACTTCCCCCGTGAAGAAAAATAAATCTAAAAATAAAAAATAAAATTATCTGTCTACAGATACGCAGTAACGTGTACATAACTCAGTGAAAGAGATGAAACAATAGTCTGGAGACACTCAACGCCTCTGCTCCAGCCAAGGTGGCCTTGCCTTGCACTGCCCCTGCCCCGGTCGTGGCACTCTCCATTGGGTGACAAGGCAGCAGGATCCTGCAGGATGAGATGGACTGCCCACAGGGACTGAGGCATTGGCACTGCTCCTGTTACCCAAGGTATCACGGTTTCAAAGGAATAACGGGAAGCAGTCACATGGGTAACAATCCTCACTTCACCCCAGCCCCAAACTTTGCTATCCTGACTTCTCTATTCGTTGCTCCCTAATTTGTCCAAGCAGTGTCTGTCTTTGACCACTGCAAACCAAACTGCGGCCAAACACCTTGGGACCATCCCTGGGTTGACCCTTCGAGGTAGTAATTTCTGCCTTGCACTGAGACAGTCCCAAAACCAGCAAAGTGGGGCCAGGGCCGGGCAGCATCACAGCCCAGCCTGACCCAGGGCCACTGTGCCACACCTCGCACCAGCCACCAAGCTGCAAAAACACATAAAAAGCTGCCACCCCCCAGCTGACAAAGACAGCCCCATTCTAATTGCCTGGGCTGTTGGCTTGGCTGGTAGTTCATCACCTTCTGCTATTAAAAAAAAAGGGGAGGAAAAAGGGAAAAAAAGTATTTAGAAAAATACATATATAAAGCAAAGCAGCATGGAAATCAAAGCCACCATTTCGGAGAGATTGAAGCATAATGCTAATAACTTTCGGCAGCTTCCACTGTGGAGTTTAAGCAGCTGCCAAGTTAAATAACTAGGAGGATCCTAAGTTGTCTTCCAGTGGACCAGAAATGCCCAGCGCCGACTGCCCGCGCAGGGGCGGCCCGACGGGCACGGGGAGCCGGGCCGGGCCTGCGGGGCCCTGCGCTCCCGCCGGCCATGGACCCACCCGGGACACGTCCCCGGGAGCCCCTCGCTGAGCGGGTCTGGCTGTCGAGGGGTGAAAGGGGAACCCCCGCCGTTTTTCGATGTCAGCGGCCAGGGAGCTTTTGGGGCTGGGGCTGCCGGGCGCGTACAGGACCCTCCGAGGGGAGCGGGGGCTAAAGAAGCCCCAGGTGACCCGGTGTGTCCCGCGTGGGGCCGGCCTGGCCCGGCCGGACACCGCAATCGTTTTTCTGGGGAGGCAGCAGCGCAAAAATCACCGTAGGAGCGATCGCGTCCGCATCAGGAGCGGCTTTGCGGCGTGCGCCCTTCCTGGGAAAAATCCACAAACCATTTCTCCCTCCAAACGTCGGGGGTGAAGGACTAAAATCCCACAGGACAACAGCCTCCACGGCAAAGGCAGAACGCCCCGCCGAGCCGAGAGCCCGCAGCCCACCCGACGTGCGGCAGCTCCTGCCTCCCAAAGCCGGGCTGGGCCGCTCGGCCCCCCCAGACCCACCCGCTCCGAGGGGCTCGGCGGTGGGCAGGCGGCAGGGCCGGGGCAGGCGAGGGGGCCGGGGCAGCTGTCTCAAAGTCAGTCAGTTGTAATATGCTCGCCGGAACAGCAGAAGTCGAATCGATAGAGACGGCCTCCAGCTGTGCCTAAACCTGCGATTTCAATTAAAATACTGAGCTCCGATGCCGGGGTCTTAGCTGGGATCTCAAAGCCCTGATGCACAAGGCATGCGGTACCCAGCTCCCCACCGGCCGGGAGGCAGCGGCATGGCCCGAGCCGGTGCCCGGCTTCGGGATGCACGGGAGCTTCTCCGGGATGCAGGATGGAGGCGGCCCCGGGGCTGCACTCGGGGTTCCCCCGTCCCTCCTCGCCCCCAGGAGTCCTGAGGCCTACAGAACCCTCTGCCCCGAGCAGGGCGCTGGGTGCGGAGCGGCGAGCCGGTAGCCTTTCCCTCGTCCAGAAAGGGAGGGAGGGAAAGAGGGAGAGAGCCGGTCCAGCAAACACCCCGGCAAGGATGAGGGCGGCGCGGGGAAGCTGGCAGCAAGCTCCCGGCCCCGGCTCCGCAGCCCTCTTTTATCCTGCCCGAAATCATCTCGTTTACAGAAAATATTTGTTTGCACTATTAGTTGGTACTGGAGTTAATTACTCAACGTGTGAGCGGGGAGTAATATGGATAAAAGCAGCCCCAGTGTTTATTGTGTGGGTGAGCTGTTTGAGCGGTGCTTGAATAAACTGCAATTAGGGTTAGATAGAGATTAATTAACATGTGAGTGGCAAGGTGTAAAATAGTTCCCAACCCTCCACTCAGTATAATCTGCAGGCGAGGAAAAGAAGTTTGTGGAGGCTAATTAAATACTTTGCTAAAGCCGGCGAGCCCCGGGAGCGAGCGGAGCCCAGCTCAGCCGCCGCCTGCCCGCTCCCTCTGCCCGGAGGAGGCGCGGGCAGGGCGGGCAGCGCGGCGCGGCTCCCCGGGGTTCACACGGGCTCTCCCGCAGCCCAGCCACCGGACGCGGCTTGTGTGGCTCTTCGCGGTCCCGTCCCACCCTCTGCCCCAGACGCGGGACGGTTCCCTCGCTCCCGTGAACGCTGACCCGACAGATCCGGGCAGGCGGGATGGAGCGGGCAGGGCTGAGGGGATGCCAACACCTGATGCTCCAGACGGGGTGTCCCCCCGGGGCAAGGCGCTCCCCTCCGCCCGCAGGCAGCCCGGGGCGGCCGCCGCTTTCAAAGTTTGTTTCTGGAGCGTGTTGTGGTTCGCAGGTGAAAAAGCCTGTCTGCAAACAGCCGCCGGCGAGCTGCCCCGGCGGGGAGAGGAGGCGCGGCTTTGTCAGCGCCGCACAAAACCCCCGAATTCCTCCAAACTTTCTTAGGCGTGCGAGGGAGGCGGAAAAAAATATATATTGGGGCCTTTTCATTGCTTGCTTTACCTCTGGTCAGGCTCAATCTAAACCCTTCGCTCCCCCCCTCTCCCCCGGATAATCCTCCCCTTTATTTTAGAAACACACAAAACCAGGTTCCACGCAGCGCTATAGTGGCTACAAGTGAAAGAGAATTGAGCGCCCTGAATCGCTGGGGGAAAATTGGTTCGGCTGAATAGCCCCAGCGAGGGACAGGGCGGCTAATCAGGGCCAGGGGGGTGCTGCCGGGCCCCCCCCAAACAGGTGGACGCGGGACTCTCTCAATTACCGCGTCCTCGCATCTGAGGTTTCTGCAAATCCTTCCCTCCCGCATCACGACGTTTTAATTAAAGAGAGGAAGGAAAGAAACCCCGGCATCCAGGCGCTATAATGTATCGTCGCCTATTTGGGGGGGAGGGGGGAGGAAAAGGAAAGGCGGGGGGCACGACAAGGGCTAGAAGGACAAGGGAGAGCCGCACGGGTGCCCCGCCGGGGCAGCGGGCACCTTTCGGGGGTGACGATTTGCAGAACTCCCGTTCGCTAAACACTGGTCTTTTTTTTTTTTTTTTTTTTTTTTTTAAAGCAGCGAAATCCAGTCCTGGACTCAACTCCCTCCACATTTATTTAAGGCTAATCACCAGCTACCCTGTGAGGGGAGAGGGGTGGAATTAAACTTAGTTTAATTAACATTAATACACTGTCCTAATTAATGGGTTGGCTATTAATTTATACATGCTGGGGAGGCTCGCAGATAAGTGACAATTTATTAATTATCTTCCAGCTCGGTTGCAACGGAGCTGATTGCAGATGGGTTGCCAAAATAACTCGAGCATGGTTGCGTGGTAGTTGCTTTAGAAAAAAAAAATCATTCTCCCCCTTCTTTAAAAAAAAAAAAAAAAGGAAGAAGAAGAAGAAAAAAAAAATCCTCACGCTCACTCGGAGTGGCTCTTCTAACCCCAGCAAGAACTGGAGCACTCTTTTCCACCCAACTTGTGAATCGCACTTGCCTTCTAATTTGCCACATGCAAAACGATTCCTCTGCTTTGCAAGTTGCTTTTTAAGAAGGGAGAGAGAGAGGAAAAAACCCAGCTCGCACACGAGCGATTTGTGCGTCTTAAACTGGAAGGAAATTGTGCGTGGAGAGGGGGGGCTCGTCTTCCTCTCTCTGCCCCAACCCACCGTGCTCCAGCCCGGCGCCTCGGCTCGGGGAAGATCCATGGTGGCATCCCCATGTCATTCTGCTCAAAGTGACTTCATGTGATGTCAGCTTTAAATGTACGAGACCGTGATCTGACGCTCAGGAAGATGTTTGCTATCAAAATGTGACTGTGGCCACACTGCGCTGCTTGGATGAGTCTCGCCGGCGCTGGGCAAAGGTAAGTGGTCCCAAGGCGAGTCCCGCCGCCCCTCGCCGTGCCCCCCGCCCCTGCTCCTGCATTTCCCGGACCGCGGCCATCGGTGGGGCTGGGCTGGGTGGCATTGGGCTGGAGGAGGCTTTTCTTTTTCTTTCCCTTTTTTTTTTTTAATACTAACAAGGTCTAGCTTGCATGTTACTTTAGTGTGTTCCGCTTAATGAGCAGTAATCTGGTACCCTACGTGCCATTGTTCTTGGATATGTTCATTTGAATGTAAATAGGGAGGGGGTGCCGGTGGGGGGTGGGGTGGGGGAGAACAAGGTGCTTATTAAATTGATTTGTCTCCTGGCTTTTCTGGAATGCAGAGCCGAGAGCGGGAGCGAGTCGCTGCTCACACCAAGTTCCCGCACGGCGGAGCGACATGGCGAGCCCGGGGTCGCTGGAGACGGTCATGCCTTCCTCCTGCCCCCGGCACGACGGCAGGGCCGCCGCCGCTAACCCCTCCAAGACCCTGGCCTTCTCCATCGAGCGGATCATGGCCAAGACGTCGGAGCCCAAGCCAGCCTTCGAGCAGCGGCACGGCGGGCCGGGGCCGGAGCCGGGCAAGAAGCCGCTGAGCCTGTGCTCGCCCCTGCCCTGCGTGATCCCTATCCCGCCGCTGGGCTACGAGCTGCCCTCCAAGACTCTCAACTACTCGGAGCTGTGGAAGAGCAGCCTGCGGGGCGGCGCGGGGCTCTGCAAAGCCAACTGCGGCGTCTGCTGCAAGGCAGAGCTCGCCCTGGGCCAGCCCAGCGGCCGGCTCATCAAGCCGCAGGTCATCCACCAGGCAGGGGCCGTGCCGGCCGCCCCCCGCTCCCTCTACTACTTCAACTACCTGGACGCCGCGTACCACCCGGCCGACCTCCTGCACGGACAGCTCTTCCCCGCCGGCCTGCTGGGCGCCCCGCCGCCGGGGGGGCTCTCGGCCCACCAGAAGCTTTTCCTGCTGGAGAATGCCAAGCTGGCGGGGCTGGCGGCCGAGAAGCTGCCGCCGCCGCCGCCCTTCGCCCACAAGGAGCGGCTGCCGGGACACCTGGATCAGGTGATGAAGGAGGCGGCGGCGGCGGAGCGCGGCGGCCCCCCCAAGGGCCACGGCAAGATGGGGGGCGGCGGCGGCGGGGCGGCGGAGGGCAAGCCCAAAAACTTTACCTGCGAGGTCTGCGGCAAGGTAAGGGGGGCGCCGGCACGGGGTGGGGGGCCGGGGGCGGCCGGCGGCGGGGCCGTGCCTGACCTCGCCTTCCCGGCGCTTCCCCGCAGGTGTTCAACGCGCACTACAACCTCACCCGCCACATGCCAGTGCACACGGGGGCCCGGCCCTTCGTCTGCAAGGTCTGCGGGAAGGGCTTCCGCCAGGCCAGCACCCTGTGCCGGCACAAAATCATCCACACCCAGGTAGGTGGGGGGCAGCCGGGGTGCGGGAGGCGGCGGCCCCCCCTGCTCTCCGCGCAGCCCCCACTGACGGGCCTCTCGCCCCCCTGTGCAGGAGAAACCCCACAAGTGCAACCAGTGCGGAAAGGCGTTCAACAGGAGCTCCACGCTCAACACCCACATCCGCATCCACGCCGGCTACAAACCCTTCGTCTGCGAGTTCTGCGGCAAGGGCTTCCACCAGAAAGGTGAGCTGAGCCGAGCCAGGCCGGGGCCCTCGCCCATTATTAGCGGGGATTAAAAGCGGCGAGCCCGGCCCGGCTGGGGGAAGCGAGGGGCGCAGGCAGAGCCGCCGCCGCCGCTCCCAATTACTTTCCCTCTAAGCCGGGCCGCATCGCCGGGCACTGCTGACGGTTCTCCCTAAATGCTTTTTAAATGAGAGGTGCCGGGCCTTGGTCCTAATCCAGAGCCCTCCGTTTGCCGCGGGTCACCGGGCTGACCCTGCCTCTCATTTGTGCCGTGCCAGTTGCGCGCTGCTCCGCGCTGACGCGGACCGAGTTTGACAAGTGGGACGGGGGTGCGGGGGGAGACACTTCCTAATGCCCCCCTTACCTGTGCACCGTGCGGCCAGGGCACCCTCGGGTAACCCCTGTTTCCACCTTTTTCCTCCTTCGCAGGCAACTACAAGAACCACAAGCTGACCCACAGCGGAGAGAAGCAGTATAAGTGCACCATTTGCAACAAAGCCTTCCACCAGATCTATAACTTGACTTTCCACATGCACACCCACAACGACAAGAAGCCCTTTACGTGTGTCACTTGCGGGAAAGGATTTTGCAGAAACTTTGATTTAAAGAAGCACGTCCGAAAGTTGCACGACAGCGTCTCCAGCGCTCCTCCGCCGCGGGACCCTGGGCGCAGCGGGCAGAGCTAAGGGCCCGGCGCGCCGCCCCATTCGGACCTTCTCCACCAGGCCAGCACTATTTATCCAAACCAGCCTTCGCTTCTCTGTCTTTTCCCCAGCGAGCTCAGCCGCCGGTAGCAAGCGACCCCGAGCCGCAGTTGTATATAAGAGGAATCTTATTTAACGGCGCGTTGCGCCGCCGGAGCGGGCCAGGAGGGGCCGGGCTGGCCGCCCCCCGCGCCAGGACAGCGCTCTTTATACGTGTCTGTAAATCTCCATTTTAAATGTACGCTCGAATAAGTGAGGAATATATATCTATATCTATATCTATCATGGGACAATAAACCGGCCCTTCGCAGGTGTCTCATTTCCCACCTCGGCCCCGGCCCGAGCGGGGACCGGGCTGCACGGCGCTATCCCCCGTGTGAACGCGGCGTGCGGGAGCTGCGGGAGCCGGGCCCTGCCGCTCCAGGGCCCGCCGAGAGCCGCGGGCATCGCAGGAAGCAAAACCAGGGCGGGAGGGAGCCGGGCGGCTTCAGAGGGCTGCAGCCGCCCCCCGGAACGGGGAAAGCGCCGGTGCGGGACCCCCGGCCGGCAGCGCGAACGGCGGCTCGGAGTTTCCCAGAGCTGCTTTCCGGGGTCGGTTCATTACGGCGTGTTTAAGCCGCTCCTGAATGACTATCTTTCCTTGCATGCAGATAAAATGATCTCACGCTTGCTTTCCGAGTAATGACCCAAATTAAGAGAGAAAACACAGACCCTTCAAACCGCATTACATTAATCTAATCACTCCCAGCAGGCCTCAGAAACTCTTTTTGATCAGAATATGGATAATCAAGCACTTGGATTACACTAAATATTCCCTTCTCATCTCCCCCCCTCCCTCACTTTTAATACGCAAGTGTCTATTCTGGCCACGTCGTTAGGAACAATATTATTCTAGCGGAGAAAGGAGATTGAGGCGGCCGGGAGTGTGCGTGCTGCTCGGGCCGGGCTTGCCAATGAAGAGGGGAACGAGACAGGCACCGAAATGCCCGGGGACGGCGTAATGGGGAGCTCACCTTTCTCCGCTTAATTGAGTGGTTAAATAGTAGGAGGCGAGGACGAGCACAGCTCGCCGCCGAGCGCAGGAAGGGGAGGCGACCCCTCGCTCCGGGTTTCTGGATCATTATTCGGCTGCGATGTTCCGCGCTCCCCGAGGAGCGGGCTGGGGGCTGGGGCCAGGGCTGGCGGGCCCCGTGCTCCCGCTGGAGGGATGGGGCGATTTCAGAGTTTCTTGGGGTTTGCATTTTCCAGTGTCAGAAGTAGCGTTTTGACGGTTTGAGGGGCGGAAAAGGATGTCCAATTATCCTGGCAGTGGGGAAAGATCGTGACAAAAATCTGTTAAAATATTTTGGGAGAGTGTTAGGTTAAAAAGAAATTTAAAAAAAAAGAAGAAGAAGAAGAAAGAAAAAGAAAAGGAAAAATGCAAACCCCGTCGCCGTTAAGTCACGGCTCTGGACACCCTGTCGGGGGAAAGGGTCCCGCAAGCGAAGGGGCTGCAGCTCAAGCCTTTGCAGGTGAGAGCCGAGCCCGGCTCTCCCGGCGCCGCGACAGACGGGGTGGGACAGCCCACGGGCCGGGGACAGAGGGGGGGACCCCTCTCTCCGAGAGGACAGTGTGCGGGGGGAGGCCACGGCAGGACAAGGTTCCGGAGGAGGGGAGCGGGGCGTGCGCATCCCGAGGGGCGGCTACGGAGCCGGTGCCGCTGTCAGGTCCGGGGGAAGCTCTGCTTCCTCCGCACCTCGGGCCGCGGGAAAAGGTCTGGGCTGCCAGTCGGGAGCCAGGCGCGGCTACAGGCCCCACAGACAGCGCGCAGGCTGCTTCCTCAGCTCCCCTGATGGGCGAGAGCAGTGCGAAACCCGCTCCCGGGAAGGGAATTAAGGAAGCGCGTTCTTATCGCATTTTTATAAAAAGCGGCGTTGTTTACAGAGCCGTCTGTGAGGGGGGAGGGAGTCATCCCCGTCACGGTTAAGGGCATCCTCCGGGCACCCTGCAGGGCCGTATCGGCCGCCGCTGGGTGGGCTTGGTTACCTGGCCCCCCCTGGGTGGCGGCGGGCAGCCCTGCCCGGGCCGGCTGTCGCTCCGGCTTCCCCCCGACCTCGGACGCACCGGGAAGGGGCCGCGGCAGCGCGCTCGCCACCGGCCGGCCCCTACCCCCCCCCGGGATCTCGCCCGGATCCCGGCACATACAAGCCGCAGATCGCGGGGGAGGGGCGGCTCTGTCAGACACACACACGCCAGAGACTCCAATTATCTTCTCCCTCACAAGATGTTTCTGCTGTCCACGACTGCTCACACTTCGGCACTCTTGCCAGCAAGCCTCAATAATAACACAAAAACCCGCACAAAAAAACCCTCTCCCGGCGCCACAGCCGCGCACACAACAGATTGAGCGGTGCCGGTGCCTCGGGGGGAGGGTTAGAGGTGCCTCCGCGCAGAGAGGGACGTGCCAGCACCGCCGGGCTTCCCCCCTCGGCCCGCCCGGCCCGGCCCGGCGCCTCCCCGGCACCGGGCGGCTCCCAGGTGCGTCCCGGCACCGCGCCGGGCACCGGGAAGCGACCAACCTACAGGCAGCTGCGTTGCCCTTTTCCCTGCACTCCGCTCTCCAAACGTCTGAGCAACCAGTTTGCTGCTAGAAACATGTTAATTGCCAACGGAGCTCATTAAGGCATGCACATGCAAAACACAGCGAGGGAGATTAAATGGACAAAAGCGCAATAATGAACTGTCAAAAATCGGACCCATCTACACGACCAGGAGCACTCAAGAATGAGGCATTTAGAGGCAACAAAGGATTGTCTGGGACAGGAAGAAAGGACGACCTAGACTTTTGTTTAGTCAACACAATTGATTACAAATGAGAGATTAACAGGATAGCTTCAGAGTTTTTTTGAAGGAGGCAGAAGAGAAAAGTCCAATTAAGTGCACCGAATGTTAACTACATTGATTTCCACGGCCAGCGCTAGAGAAATTCTCATTAAACCATCCCTGGCGATCCCTTTTGGAAAGTAATTTGTCTCCCTGATGGAGCAGAGAAAGGGAGCCGTGTAAAGAGAAAGAAGCGCTAGTTCTTGGCACAATGAGCTTAGGAGACACACTGGAAAGAGCCAAAGGGGGAGTTAATGAGCATCTGACAAGCCGCTTGGACCCGGGCCTGGAGAGCAGCGATGAAAAGATGGAATTGGCCAACAACTATTCTTTATATCAAACATAAAAAGGCCAATCTGAAACAGGGCTGCTCAAAGCTGGTGGGGAAGAAAAGAAAGGCCCCCACTGGGGGGTGGAGTGGAGGGCTCAACTGCCCCATTGGGACGGGGGAAAAAATGCATTGGCATGTCCCTCTCCCGAGCGAGCGGAGCTGCCGGCCCTCGGCATCACCCCCGGGCCGGGCACGGCCGAGAGGTCCCGGCAGCTGCAAATACCCCCGGCCCAGGGGTTTGCACAGCCCCGAACCGCCCCACGCCAGCCGAGCTGGGTACAGTTTTACGAGGTTGTCCCGCGGAGGGAGATCACCGGTCATCCCAAATCACTGCGGCCCGCCTTTCCTCGAAACTCGCCTTCCTCCTCCCTGGGGATGCATTCGCCCGACCCTCCCGCTGTCCCGGGCCGCGGCCCCCCCGAGGGACCGGGCACCGCGGAGCGCAGCGCAAGGCAACGCGCCTCGTGTAGACACGGCTCGCTCGGAGGCTCTTAAATCAGATTAGAGCTCGTTAATAACAATTTTGGCTTAAGTCTGTATTGACTTAGGTTTAGGAATGGCTTAGCACTTTCACTTAAGTCAACACTAGGGCTAAATTGACACATGCCTTTCCCAACCCGCCGCGTCCCCAAGGACGCCCAATTTCTTGCAGGACTAGTCCATCTCTCGCTTTAAGCAGTTGTACGGAAGTATTTACGTTATTTCTAAGCGAGCCCACTGGGCCCACCCCTGCGAGAGTCCACTCCAGGGACGGGTTTCAGGGCCTCGCCCTCCCACGGCTGGGGTGCGGGCACTGCTGTCCTTCTGGCTCTCAGTGTTCTCACTGCCGGCCCTTGCTATCCTTCCTTCCCCAGCCCTCACGGCGTGGCCCCTGCCAACTCCCTAACACCTCCTGCGTCTTTCCTCAGGCCGTCCCTACCTCTTCAGATTTGGATCCTGGATACCCCCGGAGAGCCGGAGCTGTGCTGCCACCCACAGCCGTGCTCTGCGGAGAGGAAAGGGCCGGAGGAAGATGCCCCTGCAACCGAGGGACAGACGGCACGGCAGCTCCCGGCATAGGCTTCGCCCTTCGGTCAGCACGGACAGTGGCCCCGTGAGGGCTATCGGCTGCCCGGCCGTGTTGGACCCCTTGGGCAGCCTCCTGCGGACGGGATGGCGAAGGGCAGCGAGGCCCTGGGGCTGTGCAGGCAGAGGGGTCACCGGCAGGCCGTGGCTGCGGGACAGGCACCCACCTCCCGGGCTGGGGTGCTGGTGGGGGGCTGCTGGGTGACACACTCACCCCCTGCCCTTCCTCTCCTGAGTGCTTCTGCAGGCAGACCTTGCACCATGGCCAGCTTTGCCCTAAGCATCTTCCTTTCTACTCTCCCCACCTTCTCCACAGCCACAGTGCTGTGCTAACCAACACCATCACCACGGGGCCTTAGTAAAAAAAAAAAAAAACAACAAAAAAAAACATAAAAAGGGGGCAAAAACGCTCTTACCAGCTGCCCTGACTCTCTAGGTGACCTTTCCCCACCTTTTATAACCCTACTCCTGCTGCTAACCCTGCCTGGCCCAAAGCCATAGCCTCCTCACGTTATTTGTATTTATCTCATTGATTTTTTGCAATTGCTTAATTGATTCAATCGTGGGCAACATATGCCCTCAATGAAAAATTAAAAAAAAAAAAAGAGGAAAAGGGTGCATTTTGAACTTCTTTGCTCTCCATTTTACAACGGGCTGCCTCTCTTCATCAGGTGTTGGGGCTGCAGCCGGGCCATGTGGCCTTTCAGTGTGGGTGCTTCAAGTCACCAGTGCTCTTAAAATCTGCTATAAAGTGATTCTGGGAGTAAGAGCGTGTTTAGTCACCGAAGTGCTTTATGATCCCCAGCGGGGACAGACATGGAGTGCAGAAAAGGGGTCTGCTCCCAGAATTCTGAGTGTATAAGCCCAAAACAACATAAAACTTGACTTGTACAAATATTTGCATCTTTGCCGTCTTCTCCATTTGCAGAAGAAGCAGGCTGACGAGTAACTTTAAAAGAGATCTGGTCCGGGGGCAGAAGTACTCCCAGCCGACGGGACAGGGGCTGGGCACCTCGCTGGACCCGCTTCGCCTCTCCCGGCTCCCCGCCGAGCATT